GTCTTATACTGTACAGTATGTGTCCATCTCAACTGGGGGTGGAAATGTATGAGTTTTTCTCTGTCAACAAACTGGGACAAGGTTAAGTCAAATGGCCGAAGGCCTGTCAAACCGGTTGGAAGAATGCCCATCCTGTTGCTAACTTTCTGTGTCGTGAAGTTATACCCAGATGGGGACTTCCGGATAGGATTTCATCAGATAATGGGAGAGAGCTGGTAGATAAAACTGTAAAACTGATCCTATAAACGTTAAGAATTAAACAACACCTTGGATCTGTTTATCACCATGAGAACCAAGGCATTTGTGAAAAATTGAATGTGGTGCTAAAATAACCACCTAGTAACAATCTGTTAACATCCTGATCCGAACTGGGTGGCTGCATTTTCACTAATTTTAATGAGGTTTGGTTTTTGTACTCTGTTGCTGACTTTTGCAAAAGCCCTGATTTTAAAATGGAATTTGAGCAAATAGGAGATGGTTCACCAACAGGGTGTTGATGTTGTGGACATGTACCCAATTTAAGTATTTTGTTTGGTTTGGTTACACTTCACAATTGGTCTGTGTGTTGACACTGTGAAGGGAAAGGTGTGCAGGACGGGTGCCAATTTTTGTTTGATTCAGTTTTCTCCTGTTTTTGTAATCTAGGGAGGTAAGACGGATGTAATTTGTTTGTTTTGTTTGAGAGACAGGACAGCTGTTACTCAGAAAGTTAGAGTCTTTTGTTTGTTGTGTTGGCAAAAGCCCGGTCTGAAGATATAATCAATACTGTTTTCCTTTTATTACTTCAGTGTTTACTTTTGGCCATGTGTAACTGTTAAGACATCACATACAGTGTAGTGTTCTTCATTTCTTTTTATTTTACCAATGTTTATTGTCCTATTTTGTTTGCCTTAATAGTTATTTTTTCTTTCTTCTCATATATATCTTTTATTATTACTTTTGTTTGATTTTGTTTATTAATTTGATTTGGCTCAGTCCATTATTTTTCACTGAGCACCTGGAGCAGCATTAGTGTCACAGCTCCTGTATTTAGTTCCACATCTCACAGCACATTACCTCTGGGACATTTGCAACAATACTCATCAGCATTTTATTGACATGATGATAAAGTCTGTTTTCCATGCATGGTATTGAAACTTGTCTTTTTTTTTGCAAGATACTGGTATGGTGTTTTCTGTGTTTCCAGGAGGACACCAGGCTGATTCTGTTACATGGACTTTGGACTCAAATTCTTGGACAGGACTCATAAATCTGTCACAGTACGAAGCCCTTGGACTCTGGGTTGTGTTGGCTCACACATTTTTACCACAAGAAAGGACCGAACTCAGGGACCAGGGGTGAAAGAAAAAAAAACTGCCATTGTTCGGAACTCTTATAATCTTTTTATGTGTTTATCCTTTGGTTTTTATTCCGTATGACATGTTGTTTGCTGTGTCAATCATTTACTATGTAGCGAATTACTCCATGAAATTAGGACCAGCCTAATTTTATGTAAAATAATCCAGCAAGACCTTGCAAAAATGAAATCAGTAAATAATGAAATACCACTCCGATCATGAAGTGAAAAATAAACTTGTGACCTGGTCAGATTTCTTAAAATAAAGTAATTTATTTTAGATATATGAACAGAATAAACATACAAACATTTCTTAAAATATTATATGAACAAAACACAAGTTATAATTTTTCATAAAAATTCCACTCA